TACTGTATTGTTGTTACTTATAAATTTAGAAGTGTGTTTACATATATACAATTTTTCATGTCTTGTATTAATACTATATTTCTAGTTTATATAAATAAATAGTTCATATATATATATATATTATATTATATATATATCCTAAAACCTTGGCCATAGGCAGGCCTTGTGTAAAAGCTATGAAAGTGAAAGTTGTAAAGAAATGTTGATATATATATGAGAGAGTTTTATCCACAAAAATATATATATATATATAGACCACAGCCAAAGTTTCAGGATACAACAGAGTAAACATCAATAGGAAAGGAACAGCATCAGGAAATCATTATTTATGCAAATCTCACTGTGCCATGTACTAGAGTTAAACATCATTACATAGCTTTATTTTTATAAAATTTATTATGGTAAGTTAAAGTTCCAGTTTTTTTATGATAAGCTATTGAATTTTACTGCCTCTTTCTTTTATGCTGTAGTTACGGTAATTGGGTTTTTTTTTACATATTAGTTACCCTTTGTGCATAAGCCACATGCAATAAATTTTATGAATATAAACTTATACAGGTCATGGCCTATAGCCAAGATTTTAGGGTAATTTATGCTTATTTTATCTATATTTGTTAATTATTATTGTAAAATATTTAACACTAGTTTCTTTGATCAATTCCTTCATATAATTTTACAAAAATTTTAAAATTAACATTATGTAAAATATATTTTTTTACATAAATGAAAAAGTTTAATATAAATGTACATTTATATTGAATTAACAATAATTCAATTGCTACAATTTTAAGAATAACTGCAGTAAAAAATTGTTTACATTAATTTGATATATATACTTTGCTTTTTTGTTCATAAATTCTATAAAATAATTAATTAATGTACTGTACATACTTAAAAAAATTTATTTATAAAAAATTTAAACCAAGAAATTTTAATATAATTCTTTTAGTATAAATCTAAAAATCTTTGTTGTATCTAAAATACTGAAACCTTAATCTGCAAATTTATAACGTAAGTTTTACATGGATACTAATGTTAGATGGGAGAAAAACTAATAAAATTGTTTTTAGTTCTTAAATAAATTTACTACTTTTATAAGCATATCAAGTGTTTAGTCTATCATAGTAGACAGATATTCTCTGTTAATCAGTAGTATAATGGATGTCAGATGTCCAATGACTGACAGGCATTTACCTTAGCAATGTCAGTCAAACCCAAGTTCAAATTTAGATTGGATATTTGTCAGTTTACCAGACTAGTCCTGCTTGGATATTGGGTTCACTACTCACTACTCAGTCTCCCCAATCCATGATGCCCAACAGAAAAGGAAAAATTAGTGAACAAAAAAATGAGACTAGTAATTTTTTTATATTTTTTTTATACAAACAATTTTTTTATATTAAGGTAATTTATCATATATTAATAACTAATTTGAATTCACTTTAAAAGAAATGTTTAATATATTCTTCATAAGTGGATATAAATAATAATGAACTAGTATAATTTTTGTAACATTGAAAACTGAAAATTAAGATTTTGACAAAAATCAAATTGAATTATTTGATAAATTGTAATATGAATTTAGACTTTAATATTATAGAAATATCTTTAGTGAATCATTTTTTAAATAATCCGAAGTTTTTCTGTATAACAGAATGTACTTATTTAGATTAAAATATAAAATTTAAAAGTTTTATTTTAAATCAATAACTATAAATTTTTATTGGAAATAGGATTGGTATGTATTTTCATTAATAAATATTTGAAAAAATTCTTTTCTTAGCTTAAGATAATTAAAATTTATTTATACAATATGACAACTTTTTATTTAAATCTTAAGACAAAATAGTTCAAGAATTTAATATGGTATAAATTAATAAAATATTAATAGAAAAAAACAAAATCAAAATATAAGAAACAAAGAAGGATTCATTAGAATATTCTTTAATAACTAAAATTGAAGCAAGAGCTACAAAATCATTTCTGTGCTGAATAAAACAACTTCAGTTATACAAACTAAAAAAATAAATTAACTCAAAAAGATTAAAGTTATGTTGTTATTAAATGTGAGATTATTAAAAATTTCTTTTATGAATTAAAAAATATTCTTACATTTGAAAAACAATATTTAAATATCTAGTTAAATTTATTTTCTGAACCGTAATCTTTTAAATTTATGTTTTACACATTTAAAATAATTTTATAAAGTGCAATTGTTTCATTTTTTTTTCTTTCTTTTTTTAAATGAAGGATGTGTGTTTCTATGATATATGACTGTATAAAACATGTTTGTTTATGCTTCATTAAATAAATTTAAATATTAAAACTTGTAATCAATGTAATGATTGTTGTTTTTCCAGTTTATTTTAAACATTTTTATTTCAAATTGTTTTTATTCTTTGTGAATAAAAATTCATTTTGCAAATTGAATATCCCATCAAACTTAAAGATGGTTTATAAAATAAGTAAAAATGTTATTAAAAAAAAAGAATCTGTTTTTCATTTAGGGAAAAATATAAATAAATAACTTGAACATATTTCTCCTATCCTTGTCAATAAAAATATTTATGATACAGGGAGATGTTATGGCTTGTAGCCAAATAGGATTTGATATTATTTGTCATAAGCTATTTTAGATATTTTCATGCAATATTTTTATCATAAAATTTGACAGGTCAAAGTATATTGTCCAAGTTTTAAAATCCATATAACATAATACAATGAAAAGCACAAATTCTTTTATGAAACTTTATAAAATTGTCTTAGTGAGAATATCATTTATATCAACTATATACTACAATTAGAATATAATTTAATTTAATAATATAAAATCAATTAATGAATTGAAGAAAAATACAATTAAAGATACAAGAATTCAGTAAGATTCAATTTTAATTATTTAAACAAAATGAAAAGTTTTGCAGTAGTGATTAAATATTTAATATAAAATTGGATTAACCAAAACTCATTTTATATAAAATGATGTTTGATTTCATTAGTGTTAATTAAGTATCCAAATCTTTCTCAGTGGGATTATCTGTAGCTTTCTTAATTATATACCTAAGTATTTAGATGTCTCGATATGATAAAACTTAGAGAGAAATTGGACATTTAATTGAAAACCCAGTTATTTGACTAAAATAAGAGGTGAAGAATGCTGCAATTAATGCATATTTAGTGGAATTAGATCTTTTAACAAAGATCTTATTCTTCCTAATAACAGATTAAATTTAGAAGTTTTTGATGTGATTGAATTGAATTTGCATCATAAAAAATTTTGAATTTTAGCTGAAATTACTGAAATAACATTTTATAAGTTCTTAAATATAATAGTAAATAAACAAATTATTAAGGAAAGTAATACTTTGATATCTCTAAAATAGCTAATTATTTTATATTTATTAAAATCAGGTATGAATTCTTTAAATTTTTATTATTATTTTAACTGCATTGAATATTGAAGTTTTTATCAGAATTGTTCATATCAATCATATTGTTGTCATCATTATCTGCATTTAATTTAGGGACTAGTTAAGAATGATTGAATTATTTGAAAATAATTTATTTGTCTTTGTATGTAATAATAGTTATCAGCTATGCACTTTTCAGTAGAAAGTGTTAATACATATTCTATTAAACTGCAATTAAGATTATTTAACTTAAATTTGTTGAGCAAACAATGTTGATTGTACATCATTTTTTACTTAAAGAATATTTTTAATTGATATTTCTTGAAAAAAATTTAAATGAGAAGATAATTAAAAATTTTTTAATAATGAATGAATAATTAAAGTGAATCTATCCTGAAAGAGTTGCTGTAGTCTATTTAAAGACTACCAAAGTATGTAAGTTAGATATGAGTTAAATGTAATTAGTGTTTCATCATGTGATTTTTGCAGCCTGAAGACAGACAACAGGATACTATTAGGTTATCTTATTCTATAAGTAACAGTAATTAGATATGTAAATATATTGGTAATTCTTTTCTCATCTACATTAATTAAGTCTGTAGGGAATTACAGAGAGAGAAGTTGATATGATAGAATGATGTTAATGATAGATGATGATAATTATATCAACATAGGTTATGAAAATAATTTATTAAATAATCCATTTTATAACTCCTTAAACAATATTAGAATTCAGATCACTTTCGTTTAAAAAAATGATGTTTTATTTATTTCTTTTTTAATCATTTTCAGAGATCTTTTGTTTCTAAACTTATATCTTTTAAAATCTTTATTAATTACATGTAAACAAATTTTTAAAATACATTTACAGTTTATTCACAATTTTTTAATATATTTTTTTGTTGAAATGTATTAAGATGTTATTAGAATAAATAAGTATAAGATATGCTCAAATTCTTTTTTTAAATATATACTATTCTGAAAGACTTTTAGTAACAACATAAAACTTGTGCATTGATATACAATACCAACTAAACTTTTTCATTTTGATAATCAAGAAAATAATTCTTGTTCATTTTATATAAAAAGATTTTCTTTTATTTACTTTTATTCTTATTCCTACTTTTAAATCAATATCACCATCTATAACATTAATTAAATTGATTGGAAACCAGATGTTGACAAGATACAAGACAGAGATATGATTTATGTCTGTTTATTTGCATTGTTTCATTGGTATTTGAAAAATAATGTAAAAAAATTTGTGAAGTTGAAAGTCAAAAACTATTGACTAAAATTTTGTTTTATAATATTTTGTTTTTTCTGATTAAAAAATGTTCTTTAAAATTAAAATTAATTTATGATAGTATAATTTTTAAAAATATACTTTTAGGCTGTTTATTCAAGAGTGGCTCGAGTTTGCACGAAGGATCAAGGAGATGGAACTTCTGGAGTCAAAGGAAAACAATGGACATCATTTCTCAAATCTCGTCTGAATTGTTCCATACCAGGAAATTTTCCATTTTATTTTGATGAAATACGTAAGTCGTATTTTATTGATATTTAATGAAATTTTAACAATTAAGGTTTTTATCATAATTTTAATAACATGACAAATTAATTTTGTAAATAGTTTGTCATAAACTGATAAATAAAATGATGACAAAGTAAAAATACATTGAAAATTTAAAACAAACTGTTTATCAATAAGTAATAATATGAGATTTCAAAATTAGATTTGGTTATTTTTATTACATTGTATATATATTATAGGTATAAATGTGGGTGTGACTCATTTTGTCTACTGGCATTACCTAATATATATTTTATTTTTTAAATATATTGTAAAATAATTATTTGCAATTAAAGAGAAACAAATCCAAACTGGAACAATGTAAATTTGGTTTGAATGTGGAATATGTACAACGGACCTGAAGCAGGATGGTTAAGCTGTTCAAAAATGTTTTATTCCAATATTTCTTGAAAAATGACAAACAAAGGTTACCGATGTGATTTAATAGTAAAATAGTATTTTTCAGTCTAATATTTTTTAAAAAGCTTTCACACATTGGGGAGAGACTTATATATTTATAATTTTTGAAATTGCTTTCTTTTGATTTTTATAAATAACAAAATTACTGTATACAGTATTTTAACACACCCTTAGCTTTCAGTTGCAAATTGTTTACAATTCAAGTGTATATCAAATTACATAATAGTTGGCAAACTTACAAAAATATTGCATAAGAGTTAGTAATACATACCAAGTTTATAAAAATAAGTTGCAGTAAGGGTCTAATGAAATTTATATTTTTTTGGATTGTGTTGTATAAATGTATTTGCTTAATTTTAAGTAATAAGTTCTCACTCTCTCATATATTAGTATTATTGTGATTGATATTTTCAAATCTAAATATTTTAAATATAACCAAATATTAACACTTAGTAAAAAAAACTATTCATTCATTTAAATAATGGACATAAATATAGTTACCTATAACATATGAAAACATATTTGACTATATATACTTGTCACTTTTTCACAGTGCAAGTCAAAAAAGAAAAACTTTTTGTTTTCCACTAGATTTTTATGTTATGATGGATACAAGTAGGTTACAGACATACAAACCTTATTTCAAAACTATTCAGATTTTATTCAAGATATGTCAAGAACATGGATTTTTGTTGAACTCTTGATGTTTTTCATGAATATAATATTTTTCATAAATTGTATGTTGTGAAATAAAAAGGATTCTGTTGTAAATATCTGTATAATCATCATTTTTTTTTTTTAAATTTTATTCAAAATTGATTTGAAATGATAATATTTCAAACATACTTTAGCATATTCTAACTAGTCTAAACATTTATATTTGACAAGACAAAATAATAATAAACAACAATGATAAAAGTATTATAAAATTAAAAAAATATATTAAGATTCATTTTCATAATTTTATCTTCTTATTTCTGAACAAATAGAAATATAAGAGTATCTATTTGTTCAGAAATAAGAAGATAAAATTATGAAAATGAATCTTAATATATTTTTTTAGTGTATCTCAATAAACAAAGATTTTTAATATATGTAAAACTATTAGTCAACAAATATCAAAAATTGATATGTGGAAATAAATACAGAAGTATAGCCATTATATATATATGTTTAATTTTTCTTTTACTGGATGCTCTAACCTGATGATGACCTTTGAATAAGATTGAAAATGTTAGCCATTAAAAAAATAGTTATGACAAAAAACTTAAATTTCAGTATATTTAGTCTTTAAATTTTCAAGTAATATCAGTTCCGTTAATATTTAGGGAAGTTCTTACAATAGATTTGATTAGCTTGTAAAATTACAGTAAATTTTCTGTTATTATATACAAATAAAGCATATCATAATTAAAGGTCTATTTTTTCTTTGCATTTTAGTTATATATGAATGATGATAGAAGTATTAAATTTCATAAACATAGCTTTATAGAACATAAGAAGCAAAACACATAAAGTTACATTGAAAAAATACAAATATCATCATCAAAACATTAACTGTTTAAGAGTGAAGAACATTGAAAGATTTGACTTATTTATTTTAGAGCTTTGTTTTAATGTTTCACATAATTTATTATTATTATTTTTTTAAATTATAATTAATAAGAGTATTTTGAAAGACAAAGAAAACTATTCAGACTTTTTTTTTGTTATTTAATCTTTTTTCTAATATAATTTGTTTTAGATTATAATATTGCTGTAATTTTTCAATTCATTTTTATTATTGTTAACAAAGTTTTAAGGCCAAACTAATTCTATAAATAATGTACTATAAAGAAATCTTTATTAAAACAAAGAAATCAAATACTTTTAGCTTTATACATTAAATTATTTAAGTGTTTATTACTCTGATACATTTAGTGATGAATAAATAAATAAATATAGGATTAAATCTGTGAAATAATTTTATTTGAAACTGTGATTTCAACATTAATAAACTTTTACTAGAAGTGCATAGTGCTTTATAAATGTTATTGATTTTCTGTAAGATTTGGTATCATTTTGTTTGTTTCAAGAAGAAAATACCATTGAAAATAATAGGATGCATCCACTGTTCCTAAAACATATGAAATTTAAAATTATATATTCATGTAACTTTTAAATTTTTTGTTTCTGCATGTATCCTGCATTTGTTCTGAATAAACATTGTGAATTGAGGTTGGTCCAGATAAAGATCTGAAAATATTTCTTCTGTACTTAAACTTCAGTTTCATTTAAATATCTGTATTTTCAAATTTACATTGTCACTGATTATTTGGTTTATCTCCCTACATGCATGATATAATCAATGTAGCTATCTATTATTAGCTAAAGCACTTTTATATTTGGAAGAAAAAAAAATAATGTGATATATTCAAATGACAATGTAATGAGATGTTATTATTAGTATGTACAGTAATAATATATTGATACAGTAACATTTCATAAATTCTTATTATTTTATTTTGAGTTTTAACTAATAGACTAAGTTAGGTTTTTGTTTTATCATCATTAAATTATTTTGAAAAAGTTAATATTTAAAACTTTGTATTCTTTTAGTCTCAAGAAGAGTTCTAGTTTTAGAAAGTATTAAAAATGAATGAATATTGATCTTAAATTTATTTGCTTTATTCTTTGTTGATTTTCTAGATCCTATAATTTATTTAAATTAGAAGTTTTTTAATTAGAAAGTTACAAAAGGTGTTTGGTTTTTAAATTAAATACTTTTCATATGGATAACAATGTGCTTAATTTTCTCTTTATGTATTGTTATACCAAACTAGACAATAGGAAAGCAATATTACATAATTAATTTTTCTATACCTGAAAAGTGTTGATCTAAAAATTTCACTTAAAATGTCAGAAAGTTAAAAAATGTTTTTCCTTTTCATATCAAATTAAATGGAAAAGTTTATTAAAATAAATTTCTAAACATAGTTTAAAATTAATTTACTTATTAGTATCATTTATTGCTTAATGAAAAATGCTTATTAAAGTATAAATAATGAATATAGTATATATATCTTAGTTATAATTATTTCTGTATTTTTATTAAAAGAGTAAAAAGTTACTTTAATATCATTTAAAAAAAAAAAAAACTATATAACAAACTGCATATGAACTCATATATAAAATTTCATTTCATTTCAAAGCAAACTTAAAATTACTATAATTCCAATTTGCTGATTATATAGAATTAAAATTAAATTTGGGTTAAGAATAAAAATTTAATATCATATTGTAAAAAGTTATTTAGTGTATATAATTTTAAGGTGTAAATTATTGTTTTTTATGGGCTCTATAAATCTGTTTTTTCCAAAAATTGTTTCTAATGCATTAAGCTACAATAGGATCAATTTGTCAAATATATTTTGTTGGAAATTTGCAGTTAAAGTGGATTAATTTAAAAAAAAAAAAGTGTTAACCAGGTCAAAATGTTGTCTTCAGATGAGGACAGTGAAAAGCAGAATTCACTTTCAACTGCTGATGCATAAATATGGTCTGTTAACTGCATTGAAAATGTTAGTGCTCCCTAAACTTCAACTGTTAAAGATGTATTGATTAATAGGTGAGATTTTTGCAATACATTAAATTTATTTTGCTTACAGTATATAATTTTAAGAATCAAAATTTAAGTGTAAATGTTATAAACTTCTAGCATATTAGGAATAAAAGTTTCAGTTTTGTTCTTTCAACATATTAATATTCCATTATCAGAATGTTACTGCAAAGTGAATGACAAATATGTTTTGTGAATGATTCTTTTCAGTATAAATAATTTGGATCTGTTCATGAATATTATGTCATTAAAACTTTGACAACAGATATAAAGCTTATTTCACTTAGTAAAGAGAACAGATTGATGGATGTTTTGACATCATCACTATGCATTACCAAAAAGGTTCTTGAACTTTTTAAAAGTTCTATAGCCCCAATCGAATACCATGCATTATCTGGCCAATATATGTAAAAATTTTATGTATACAGATAAATATTTGTTTAAGAATTAATGAAACTAATATTTAACATGTTGACTGCCATCTGATGCATCGGCGGTCGGAGCCAACTTTATATTGATAGATGCATGAGAGGCCACCATTAGGATGTAAAACAATGTCTTACAAAGCCAGGATAATTTAACCTTGAGTGAAACTTCATTGCATCGGATAGCTGTGAACATGTTAAATGAAATTGAAATATTCTTAGAACGTTAATATATTATTACATTTTTTTTAAATGTAATATTCTCATATGCAAAGAATTAATCCAATTGTACTTAATGTTTAAAGTTGAATATTGCATTTATTATAAAACATGATGCATTTTTTTTTATTAAGTACTATAGTATAATGTTTAATTTTATTTTTATCTACAGATATTCATATTTAAAATTTTTCCATCTGTATTAATTATAGAATTGAAAAAAAAATATTCATACATTGTGTTCAAAAAAATTGAATATATTACAGAACAGTACTATCTGTTAAAGATGACTACAACAATAATGATAGTAGAAAGTTGAAGATTCTCAAAAATTCGTCAAACAGGATATGAAGGCAATAACTTAGTAGTTTAATGCTTTCCAGAAATACAGTATTTTCAAAAGTATTGTTTCATTTCATACAATAAATATTGTAAATAAGTTGTAAAAGTGAAAATTTGATATATAAATCTTATAAATACCCCAAAATATCTAAAACTTTTAATGAACTTTATATTTATTAATTAATCTGTACTGTGATATAATGTAATGTATAATGAATAATTTAATAAAAAATATGTAAAAGAGACTAAAAATGTCTTCACTTTTGCCATGTCCAATCACCAGGAACAACAGTTTTCCACAGCAGAGACCAGTAGTGTGCCATCCATGGAAGCTGTGGAAGAGCAACTTTCCTTGTATTTTCTAAAATATAAAATATGAAAATAATTGCACAATATATATTTAACACCCTTTGAATTATTTAAAATTAATATTTTATTATAACCACATTTAGTATAGAAACTTGTAATAAGATACATAATGTGAAAAAAATGATAAGATTGCTATTGTATATTCGAAAATAAATTTATATATGCATATTCCCAATGGAAGAACTGTATTGTCGAATATGGGACAGCTTCCATGGCAAAAATATTTGAATCGTGTAAAGTAGATTATATGCATTTGCGCATGCGGTTTAGTTCGTGGATGCTATACACCAGGGGTGTCCAGCCCGCGGGCCGCGGGCCGCATGCGGCCCAAGGCAAGTTTCAATGCGGCCCGATAAAGGTGTAAACAAAACCGACAAATGGTTTAATTTTTTATTATTTATTTCAACGGCATAAACTCAGAAAATAAATTTCAAAAGCCATAAACCTTTATTCATATTTTAGTTTTGAGTGGAAATGAAATATTTTTATGTACTTGGAGATGTGTGAATGAGGAAGGATNAAAACTATAATTTCAGGATTCATAAAGTGCTTTAGCTTAGACAGATAAATATATTCTCTTTAGCAGTTTATTTTAAAATGTTAAGTTTTCATTTAATTTCTGTTAATTTTGATTATTTCTAGGTATTAATCTAATCTTAATCATATTAATTTTCTTTAACAGGAAAAAAATCTTTGAATAGATATGCTTAAGTATAGTCTAATTTGATAGTGTAATAAAGTCAGATATTAAACTGAAACAGAATTTTTGTAATTAAATCAAAATTCAGATAAATTTTAAATTATTTATTGTGATTCCAAATATGAAATGTCAGGAATTTTAATCAATTTAAAAGTTTTATTTCTGAATATTTTACCTTAATAAAATCTTTACTGTGAAAAATAATTCTGGACATCAACTATAGAATTTTTTTGTAATTTTTATCGTCTTGATGCTATTCTTTTGTTTGTGAATATTGATTTTTTTTGTGGATTATTTTAATTCATTACTTACTTGTTTTTTATTTACAGCGATAGTAAAATAAATTGATATAAAAAAATAGTGATTAAATTTTAATATGATTTTTTAATATTATTGTTAAACTTTCAAAAACTTCATAATTTTGTTGTTATTAATTCTTCAATAAAATCACAAAGACATCTGTAACTCTGATTTAATATAATAATCAAAAATAAAATATATAACATCAAATTTCCAGATATGGATGTCAATAAGAAAATGAAATCAGATATGAAATGAATCACCAAGCAATACTTTAATTGATGTTCCATGTCTCTGTCATTATTCTTACCAATAGAGGGAAAATGGTCATTGATTGTTTTCTATCAAAGAAATACTACTGGCAATAAATCAATGTTTTAATGATGGCAAATTGATTGATGCAAGAATCATTTCTGTAAAGAATCTTTTGCATGACTTGTTATCATATTTTATTATGTTGCCAGTGTTTGCTGGAGGGATTCTCACGGTTGCTTATAGTAAATCAAATTTTCTGCCAAGATGCAAACATACATTGGTTAATGTTTAGACATTGATATTGATTTCTGTCATTTTCTGTAGAATCTACCACTCATATTGTAGAAGGAACTTATGGAGAGGAAAAAGCACAGCTGTTGTATGCAGTCTTCACAACACCACAGTAAGTAATTGTTTAGATTAGTTGATAATGAAGTAAAATCTGTCATGTCTTTAAATGCTCTTTATAGTAGATGCTTAAGATATGAAATTAAATAAATTCTCTATTTTAATTATTGTTTTTAATGTTTAGAAATAGCCTTACTGGGTCTGCTGTCTGTGCCTTCCGTCTCCAAGATATTCAAAGAACTTTTGATGGTGACTTTAAGGGCCAGAAAGATAAGGATTCAAACTGGTTACCTGTGCCATCTGCAGATGTACCAATGCCAAGACCTGGAACGGTATAATTTTTTAAAATACATTATACAGTGTTATCATATAACTTCAATAATATAGCATATTCTTTCATATGATGATTGAAAAAAATATTTATAACTTTTGTAAATAATTTAAAAGCACTTTATTTTCTATTGCTATGAATTAAGAAAAATTTCAATAAAATTAATTATCAAACAAAAATTAATCAGCTGAAAGAATCAATATAACAAGCATTTTATGTGAATGTAATAGGATGTCAACAAGTAATATGGCTTTGTCTCTTAATAGAATGAAAAATTGATTATCCAATCAATTAACCAAGATAATAATTATGTACTATAAGCTAAAGAAAAGTACTTTTAATTTTCTAACAAACTTTGTTTTGAAGTAAATTTTTGGGACAAGATTGACTAATTAGATAAGTTTTTTAAACATTTTTTTAAAGTAAATTTAATGCATAATGTCATTAATATATTCATACAGATTGTTTCAATTTTTTATATGAACATCTGAATGTCAGCATAAAATATAAGATATTGGCAAGTAATTTTTGATTAGTTTCTAAAACTATAATTTCAGGATTCATAAAGTGCTTTAGCTTAGACAGATAAATATATTCTCTTTAGCAGTTTATTTTAAAATGTTAAGTTTTCATTTAATTTCTGTTAATTTTGATTATTTCTAGGTATTAATCTAATCTTAATCATATTAATTTTCTTTAACAGGAAAAAAATCTTTGAATAGATATGCTTAAGTATAGTCTAATTTGATAGTGTAATAAAGTCAGATATTAAACTGAAACAGAATTTTTGTAATTAAATCAAAATTCAGATAAATTTTAAAGTATTTATTGTGATTCCAAATATGAAATGTCAGGAATTTTAATCAATTTAAAAGTTTTATTTCTGAATATTTTACCTTAATAAAATCTTTACTGTGAAAAATAATTCTGGACATCAACTATAGAATTTTTTTGTAATTTTTATCGTCTTGATGCTATTCTTTTGTTTGTGAATATTGATTTTTTTTGTGGATTATTTTAATTCATTACTTACTTGTTTTTTATTTACAGCGATAGTAAAATAAATTGATATAAAAAAATAGTGATTAAATTTTAATATGATTTTTTAATATTATTGTTAAACTTTCAAAAACTTCATAATTTTGTTGTTATTAATTCTTCAATAAAATCACAAAGACATCTGTAACTCTGATTTAATATAATAATCAAAAATAAAATATATAACATCAAATTTCCAGATATGGATGTCAATAAGAAAATGAAATCAGATATGAAATGAATCACCAAGCAATACTTTAATTGATGTTCCATGTCTCTGTCATTATTCTTACCAATAGAGGGAAAATGGTCATTGATTGTTTTCTATCAAAGAAATACTACTGGCAATAAATCAATGTTTTAATGATGGCAAATTGATTGATGCAAGAATCATTTCTGTAAAGAATCTTTTGCATGACTTGTTATCATATTTTATTATGTTGCCAGTGTTTGCTGGAGGGATTCTCACGGTTGCTTATAGTAAATCAAATTTTCTGCCAAGATGCAAACATACATTGGTTAATGTTTAGACATTGATATTGATTTCTGTCATTTTCTGTAGAATCTACCACTCATATTGTAGAAGGAACTTATGGAGAGGAAAAAGCACAGCTGTTGTATGCAGTCTTCACAACACCACAGTAAGTAATTGTTTAGATTAGTTGATAATGAAGTAAAATCTGTCATGTCTTTAAATGCTCTTTATAGTAGATGCTTAAGATATGAAATTAAATAAATTCTCTATTTTAATTATTGTTTTTAATGTTTAGAAATAGCCTTACTGGGTCTGCTGTCTGTGCCTTCCGTCTCCAAGATATTCAAAGAACTTTTGATGGTGACTTTAAGGGCCAGAAAGATAAGGATTCAAACTGGTTACCTGTGCCATCTGCAGATGTACCAATGCCAAGACCTGGAACGGTATAATTTTTTAAAATACATTATACAGTGTTATCATATAACTTCAATAATATAGCATATTCTTTCATATGATGATTGAAAAAAATATTTATAACTTTTGTAAATAATTTAAAAGCACTTTATTTTCTATTGCTATGAATTAAGAAAAATTTCAATAAAATTAATTATCAAACAAAAATTAATCAGCTGAAAGAATCAATATAACAAGCATTTTATGTGAATGTAATTGGATGTCAACAAGTAATATGGCTTTGTCTCTTAATAGAATGAAAAATTTAATAATTATGTACTATAAGCTAAAGAAAAGTACTTTTAATTTTCTAACAAACTTTGTTTTGAAGTAAATTTTTGGGACAAGATTGACTAATTAGATAAGTTTTTTAAACATTTTTTTAAAGTAAATTAGAACAAATGATAAAAGAAAGATAATGTTCTTGAAAAAACTTGTAATAAAATTTTTTTTTATCACAGATAGAAACTGATTTAAAGAAGGATGTTTTTATATTTATGTCAGAAAGAGAGAAAAAAAAATTTTAAAATGCTGTTTAATTATTTATTATTTAAGTTTTAGAAAAATTTATTAACAATATAATAAATTTTAAAAATAATAATGATAAAAGCTAGTTTTGATATTTAGATACAGAGTGAGTTCCATTAAAGTAAAGGATAATTTTTCTAACTTACTGTATGTAAAAATATTAAATGAATAGCAGTTTGCTAAATGTACTTACATATATAATGTATAAAAATTGGTTAACAAATTATCAGAAGTAAAAAAATTTTCATTTCATTTTCTTTTAAATTAAATCATTTAAATTCTGCTTATGTACTTTTTATTGTCACAAGTATTGATTTTGTTCCTTGTCTGGCTTTTCTCAGACATAATTCATATTTCAATTAACAAACAATTATAGTTCTTGTTACACTTTCCTTTGTTAAAATATCTGTATTAAATTTGGAAAAATTACATTTAGTAAATAATTTTATCTCATAATATCATCTTATTATGTTCTGTACATTATAGTGATTTTGAAATTTAAAAAAATTACCTAACATTGAAGAATTTTTATTTTACTGTTTTTTAAACTGAAGTAACCATTTTATTTTGAAAAAAGAAAATAAAAATTTGTATTTACTTGTATTTTTATAACCTTTAAAAATTAATTATAGAATGATTACTAATATTAAATGCTAAGCAGTTATTTTTTTTTAATTTATATCCTTTACAAGTGTTATTAAAATATATATTTTAATCAATTATGAAATTTATGACTACCATCAACTGAAAAATTTTTAAATTCTCCCTTCAATATTTTTAAAAATTTTATGAAGTTTTCATTTTAAAATATTTACAACACAAACAACAAAATTTAAAGGTATTGAAGAAAGTACTAAAATATTTTGATATCAATTTTAAGTCAAGTTTAGTTTTCTTTAGTATATAAATTAATGTCAAAAAGTTCCATAAATAATCTAATAATAGGCCATATTATAGGAATGAACTGAAGATTTTGGTAGTGTAAAGCTGCTGTTATAAATAATACTATTTTAAACATTAAAAGAAATCATAAGAAACTCCCCTGATGTAGTTTTTGAAAATTTAATAAAAATTCTATTGATAAAAATTGTTTAAAAATATTTTCATATACAAGACAGCATCCAGAAATACATTGATCTTTTCCATAAACTGAATTTTTTTAATGTCATCAATGTTTTGTAGTCTTTTATATTGACAAAAATTAGAAAAATAAATTATAAATAAAACTCATTATATTTTAATTATAAAATATCTTTTGTTGTATTCCTGAAAGTAATTTTTAATTATATTTGTATTTTTTTCTAGTGTGTTAATAATTCAAAGACACTTCCTGCACAAACTATTCAATTCATACATAAACATACTTTAATGGATCAAGCTGTTCCTGCTTTCTGGCAATATCCTGTTGTTGTACACACAGGTTACAGGTAATAATTCTCTTTAGTTTCTTAGAAAATTTTAAAATTCTACTTGTCATAAAATATAAATTTATTTGAAATGAGCAAAATTAAATCCATGTATAATATATAAATTTATAAATATTTTATAAATTTTTAAAAATATTTAACAGAAGAAATTTTGTTTAATCAGCTGGATTTGAAATTATGATTCAATGTTTTCAAACATCTTATAAAGTAAGTATTCGAAAATGTCCATATTAAGATTATCATCATCACCATCATCTGAAAACCTATTAAGTGAATTGTAATGAACAATATTTGAGTAAGATTGTATAAAATAAAAAGCAAAGTAAATATCTTAGTCAAAATTAAATATGAGTACAATACTATGGATGTTAGTTATTTTAATTTACTCTGTCAAACAACATTGTCAATTAAAATCTAACACACATGCCTGAAGCAAGATCTAAATCTTGTTTCAGGCATATTTCTTACAGTACATTTACTGACTACATTAATCGTTTGTTTGAAATTTTTATATATAACAGAAGGTTAAATTAAATATTATTTTTTTTTAATAATAGAAATGTTTAGACTTTTCTCTGTATTTGAATGTAAAAAATTGTATTAATTATATTTATATATGTAAGTTAGCATAATTTAATGGGTTAAAATTACTTTTCCTGCATTTTTGTCAAAAGTGACTTTCTTTACATTGTTTAGAAAACAGATACATCCTAATTCAACAAACTTTTAAATGTTATGTTTCCCTGACTTTCAGTTAATGCTTCCCTCTCTTTTAATTGTCAGTTTTACAACTTGTCATACTTTTTTTTTTTATATCTTTCTTCTTTAGCAATTAAACATATTGTCATTTATTTCGAAATTTTTGTCAATAGCATTAATTTGAATTGCTTCTAGTAAATTTTTTTACATTCTGTAAAAGAATATATTAAATTGAACTGTAGCATTTACTTATGAAAATAAAGAATATTAATTTGTACAAAATAGAACTGTATAAATAAATTATATCTTCATATTTTTTCTATTGTTGCATTAAAATTTGCATTATTAACTTAAACAGGAAAGTAACTGAAGATTATTATTGAAAAAATTAAAGATTCAAATTTCATGAGCACAGTCCTTACTAATATTCTTAATTATTTCATCTCTTGTTTCTGTTGATAAATTAGTTTTGATTGTATTACAATTCCAATAATTTTATTGGAAATTTCATTATTAAAAAAATACAGAATTAGTTTTCAGAATGTATGCTGATCATTGCTAACAATTTATGAATGTATTTAATTTCATGAATATCATATGACATTGAAATTGTATTATACTAACCAAAAGAAACTTATTGACATATTAAATGCTGACAAACTTTAAAATATTTATTCTATAAGATGTATGAAATTTAAAATATATAAGAATAATGTATATTTTCCAAAATATTTATTCTTTTCTTAGAATAAAGGAATATATACATAGATATTATTTGTTCAAAGTGTGAAAAAGAATAAATGAATTTTTTAATATATTTTTATCAATACTGTGTTTTAATTTTTAATAATTATTTTCATTAACCTACAGAAAATTCTTATTTATTATCATCTTATTAGTAAATTTTTTATTGCAGCTTCATTATGCTTGATATATGTGTGCTTATTTTATAAAAATGTCATCTACATAAAAATATTTTGAGATTTTTTTTACACATTTAATTTGGAGTGTGTTATGTTGATTTATATTTGAAACTTTATTATTTTTATTAATACAGTATTGATTTAACATTTTTCAAGTAACTGGTAAAAAATAAAAAATAAAACTTAAAAAGAAAGATACTAAATGTAGTAACATTAACATTATGGTTTATGAAAAGACCAGTGAAAAAATATGTTAAATCACAGAACATTATATTTCAGAAATAAAGTTTTATTTACAGTTTAATGTCAACAAGTATACTCATATTCTAAATCAATTAGTAAATTATATTCTTGCATAATTTAATTAATTAAACAATATTTTAATAATTAAATTCAAGAAATACTTAAATAAATGTGATGTGACAAGTGTTTAATTAATTAATTAAATTAAATATAAAAAATTTATTATTCTAAAATAAATTTTAAAAAATTAATGCAAATTTTTAATATGATTCAATTAACTGGTGATAATGTTTGTAAGAATAAATTCTGTTATTAATATTAAAAATGTTAGAAACAAAATTTTTATATTCATATAAAAAAAATTATACAAATAATTATTTATAGCTTGTTGGAGTAGATACTTACAATAAAACATCTCAGACTTCTGTTCTTTTTATATTATTTTAAATCACTAGAATAAATTAAATTTTTCCTACAAAATATTTAAAATGAGAGATGATGATGTATACTTACAATAAATGTATAATATTCTACATTTAATTTTTATATTAAGCTTTTAACGTCATACTTTCATTATGTTAAATAATAGTGTTAACTTAAAAAACTTAAAAGAAATTATTTGTCTGTTATATTTTAGAAAAACTTTCAGCTATAGTAAATAATAATAATAATAAGTAAATATAAATTAGTTATTTATATAAAAACAATAAATAATTAAATGAACACAAGTTATTTCTGGTGTTGAACATTCAAATCATTAGTAATTTGGTTGAAGAAATTAACAATTTTATACATATTTATTTTCGTTAAATTACCCAGTTTGGATCTATAATCAAATTCATTATTTGAAGAAAATATTCTTAGAGTTTGAAATTGTTGCTGATATTTTTTCAACGCTGTACAGTCTCTGATTAGATGAAATGCAGAAAAGCTGCTGGAATTACACCAATAACATGATTTGGTAAAATCTATATAATTATTATTCACAATTAAGGAGAATTTATTTAGTCTCAATTGTAGTAATATACGTTTAATATTTAAATTTGTATTCATTGTGATAATGTTTGATTGAGTGGGAAAACTTAAGATATGCAAGTACCAAGGATGATATGTTGAATTGAGTAGAGAATTTTGATCACTAATTATCGATTGTGAAATCGCTGAATCCATCATCATAGTGTAGGCATTATTCCAATTATCAATCGAGTTGTCAAGTAAGATAGTAGATACACCAAATGACTGTAATATTTTATTAAATTTGTAGAACCAAGTTGTATTACTGGTATTATTGTTTTCCATTTTATTTTTCATTATATGAAGTAAAAACGTAATATTATCATCTTTAGAATGCATTAAACGGTAGTAAAATCTGATTAATCTTTTCATAAAGAATGGAAAAATCTGACATCTGTTTGTTTCTAGGCGAATAGCATAACCAGGTATAGTACGTTCGAGTTTAAATATTTTGCGTAGATAGATAATATGGAATTTTTCCAGGTTATAAAATAAATCAATGGCCCAAATCGGACTGGCATATAAAATAGTTGACATTATTATTGAGTTAAACATTCTCATATGAAGATTTAAGTTTGAGATTTTTAAACTAGCTCCTAAATAGAGAGTATTATTTATTAATTGATTTATTTTATTATTAAGATATTTCATATGTGTTTGGAATTTACCATTCCAGTTGAACATTATACCCAAATATTTTATGTTATTGACCAATTCCAACGGTTGATTATTTATATAAAATGATTTCTCTTGATTTGCCAGTTTAATATTGTTTCTGAATATTATTATTTTTGATTTATCAGTATTGATCGTTAAATAAATAGATTTCAGATAGTCGTTCACTTTATTAATCTTATGCTGTAGAGTAACTTTTGTTGGGGCCAATAAAACCAAATCATCTGCGTATAGAATGTAGTGAAATGTTCTTCCATATATATTAATGCCTTCTGAATCATATAAGAATAGCTTATCTATTTCATTAATATAAAAATTAAATAGATAGGGAGACAATGGCTCACCTTGTAAAATTCCTCGATTTATTATAATTTCAGGATATCTCTGTTTTCCGTATACTATATTGATTTTGTAAGAGGAAAAAAGTTCCATAATTGTAGTTGTAAATTTGGTACCTGCACCAAATACTTTTAATTTGTTAACCAAAGAGGGTACGTGAATAGAGTCAAATGCTTTAGTAATGTCAATGAATGCAGCATAAATTTTTCTTCGTTTTTTCTTTAAGTATATTTGAATTAGTGAGTTTAATAAGAATATGGCCGATTCAGTTCCTTTGGATTTTATAAAAGCAAACTGTAAATTCGAAATTAGTTTTTGATTTGTCGTCCATTTTTGAAATCGTAATGCCAATATTGATGTGAAACATTTCCTTAAAGTTGATAGAAGAGCGATAGGACGATAGTTTTCTGGTGATAATCTATTTCCTTTTTTATGGATCATAAGTAGTTTTACAGTATTCCAAGATGACGGATATATTAATTGTTCGTAAAAATAATTATATATTTCAAGTAGTACATGTTTTCCTGATGGAGGTAAAAGTTTGATGAATTTATTAGTAATTAAATCTGGACCTGGCGATGATTTTATTTTTAGTTTTCCAATGGAGTATTCCAATTCATCATAGGTAAGAGGTGCATCAAAAAAGTCATTCGTTACGGTTGTTTGATGATTATTTGGTGAGTTTTCAATAACCGGAAATCTATTAAAATAACTAGACCATATTGAAATATCTATATCCGGTTGACATTCTAGACAAGATTTTCGTAATTTCTGAATTGATGACCAAAAAAGTTGATTATTTTTGTTTGCTATCATTTGTTGTTGAAGTTTTTTAAAGTAGTTTAATTTTTTTACTTTCAGTAAGTTGAAATAAGAAGTTTTTAACTGTTTATAACGGTTGAAAGAAATATCTGAGTAACAGTTTCTGAATTGTTTTAGAGCTTTATTCTTCTGTACTTTAAGTTTGTAACAATTTAAATCAAACCATGGCTTTTTAAATTTATACGTTATATTATACTTTGAGTTATATATTTGTATAAATTCTTTTAATATTAGTTCAAAACGAGAATATTTGTCCATTCCTTCCGTTGGAAGATAGTTCGTTAG